GGCGGGAGCGCGGCCGTGCCCGGGCAGAGCCCGAGCCGAGCCCCAGCCGGCCCGGGACAGCCTCAGCTCTGCCCGCCCAACTCCGGCGCCGGGATCGCGGCACGGGCGCCGCACCGGTTTTTTTTTTTTTGGGTTTTTTTTTTAATGATTTCTGTATTGTCACATGCCCGGACGTCAGCGCAGGAATGCCGATCTTTCTGGAGCCGTGTGAAGTGGCGGCTCTGGCGCCAAAATTGAGCGGCGAGGTTTGAGATGCTGCGCTCGGCGGGTCGGGCTGCTCCAGCCCGGGCGCTCCCGGCTGATGCGCCCTTTGCAGCTCGTGGTGCTCGCCTCGGTCCTGGCAAAGCCCCCCGGGGGTTTTGTTGCATCATCTCTGTTTGTGTTTTTCTAGGTCTTGTGTTGCTTTTGGGTGTTGTTTTGTGTATTAACCCTTTGCTGTTGCTCAAACTGGCACTAGGTTTATTTTCTGCTCTTTAAATGCTGATGACAGTCTTGGCGTCTTTGAGGTCATGGAATCACGGAACTCTTTGGGTTGGAATGGATCTTAAAGATCACCTCAGGCCACCTTCCCCTCTCCCAGGTGGCTCCAAGCCCTGTCCTTGGGCACTTCCCGGGATGGGGCAGCCACAGCTTCTCTGGGCACCCTGTGCCAGGCTCTCCCCACCCTCCCAGGGCAGGATTTCCCCCTAATATCTAATCTAAACCTCCCTCCCTTGTAGAAAGTCCCTTCCATGTTTGCTGTCGGTCCCGTGGGGAGATAAGCAGATATTCTGTTACCCTCACTCCGTGGAACCTGCAGAGACATTGTTGTGACAGCTGAAGGCTTGAAAGCTTCTCAGCCTGCAGGAGAAGCTCTGGCTGTCCCCTCAATAATCCATACAACACTTGGCTTCAGAAAAGGTTTCTTGCATCACCCTGTTAATGCTGCCAAGAACAGGTTCTGATCGAGGTGGCCAGAAAGTTGAGTTTGTTCTCTCTGGTGTTCCTGTGATTGAGCCTCAGGGAACAATGAAACCATTGTGGATTTGAAAACCTTGCCTTGACTGACATCTCCATGGACTTTGGCAACCTTGGTTGGTCCCAGGTGCCTCTTGGCAAACAGATAAGAGGGGTGAGAATGGGCTTGAGATGGAAACAAGAGCGAGGAGGGAGGGGAACATCAGGAATGTGTGAGGGGAGCAACATTCCAATGGAAGTTATCTCCGCGGGTGTGTGTCCTGCTAGGATCTGGGAGAGGATGGAGCCAGAGCAGATCCAGGAATGAGCAAGGGGGACACTCTGCTGTCACGTTTCTGCTCTGGTGTCTCCCAAAAACTGTGAGGCCAGGAGGAGCCCAGGAGCTCAGCTGTGGTTTGAGTAGGCACAGCCATCCTGGAAAATCTAAAGCCTTGTTTGAAAGGAGTTTCCTCAAAAGCCATGTGGTTGTTTGCACTAATTATTATGGTGGAAAGAAAAAAACCTCAGCCTTAATTTAGGTGTTTGTAATAAATGAAACAATGTATGGACTGAAGGGCTGGTGGCTTCCCACTGCCTTTCTTGGTGGTGTGAAATGTGAAGGAAGCCTGAAAAAAATCCCAGAATGGTAATCTGAAGTGACTTTTGGTTAAATTAATACAGAGAATGAAACCCAGAGTTCACAGGAGCAAGAGCAGCACACATAAACTTTGCCAGAGCCATTGGGTAACAGGAGGAGTTGCTCTGGGCACTGAGGGGTGTTTATTCTCTGGGTTAGATTTTTAAAAACTCATTTGTTGGCATCTAAGAGTGGGGTCAAGGGCAGCTCTAGTGGCTCTTATTGTGAAACATGTCAATAAGCTGGATTTCTCTAATAAATATCAACAGGAGGACATGAGCTGGCAGCTCCCTGAGCTGGAAACAAACCTGATCTTTTGGACTCCTTAATTGCCTGTGGTGTTAGTAGGTGGATCCAAGAGTTAAATTCCCCTTTAGATCACCCAAAATAAACCAGCCTCTGTAAACTTTAACGTTGAAATGGTCTGGAAGCTGTTGAAAGTTTTGAGTTTTCTTTGGTTAGTGTTTTCACTTGGATAATATTTTAAAATGCACTCCTTGGCTTGGGCTGATTTTTGCAGATCTCAGGGTTTTCTTTTTCTTCTGCTTCTCTGAATTTCACAAGTCACTCAATATATTTCTATTCAGTGTGCAGGTCCCAGGCTGTTCACCACAAACTCACAGTTGTTATTTTGTGTCCATATTTCCAAATAAGAATGTGCCAGTACAGTCTGCAGCTCACTAGAAGCTTGCCCTGACATTCTATTTGCATTCATTCCAGCTGTCTGCTGCCTTTGCACTTCTTTTGCCATGCAGAGCCACAGTTAGAGGGAAGGGATCAGGTTAAAATTCTTTGAGGAAAATATCTCTTCAGATTTCAAGCTCATTCCTTAATGGTGACTGGTTCTGGTGCTGAAGTGCAGGAACTTCTTCAGTGCTGATTTTTGGTCAGAAAATGTGTTTCACATCAGAGTAAAGCTGAATTCTTTCTTCACCATTGGGATTTGACTTCCCAGTGTAAAATATTAAAACCTTGTCAGTAGATTTTTAGTGCAGAGGAGTCCCAGTTCATCTGTTCACATAATCTTTATTATTGATCTGATTTGCATAGTGCTGCAGTAGGGCTCAAAAATTTCTGTGTAAGAGGAATGTGAAAGAAATTTGCAGTACCTTAACATTTTTCAAGTTCAGTTGGGGGTGTGAAATTGTACCTGTGATATTTGAGTGATTGCATAACAATGCAGCCAGGTAAGACAGGGGTTCCCTGTGTCACTGATGGCAGTGCTGCAAATCTGGCACAGAATTTAGTAGATTTTTTTGGTCTTCTGCTGATAATTTTTTATTCCTGACCTATTTAATTATATAGAGATTTTGTCTTTTCAAACTTAAAAAGTTGTAAACCACATCAGTGCATTTGTTTTTAATGCTTTCCATTTTCTAATTCATCTTTCTTGTACTCTTCTCATCCCCAGGGTCAATTAAGTGAGAGCATGGACCATGGAGGAGTTGGCCAATATGACCTGTAAGTTGCTGCTAGAAAATATTCTGTATCATTCATGCCCACCACAAATAACTTCTGATTTTGTTACATTGTTAAGGTAAACAGAAAATTTTGTCCTTCTGGTTCCATTTTGAGTCATTTTTAGATGTTTCACTATTTCCTCACATTAAAATTTGTCAATTGTATCTTGAAATAAAACAATAATAAAAAGAATTCTGGTGAAAGCTGCTGCTTGTCTTTTGATCCTTGTTTCTCCTAACAAATCTCTTGCCCTTGAATAATATTTGTAATATGGATATAACGATATAAGGAAATACCTGAGTCAGTTTGAGGTTTTCATCCTCTAAACTTAATTCTGGTGTATTGTGCATTAAATTGAAGGGGTTTGAAGGAAATCTTGCTGCTATAAATCCCCAAAATCTGCAGGCAACCTCTCAGTGCAGGGTGCAGCTTTGCACACCATCAGCAATAATCCCTGGTGGGGGGAGCCCTGCAGATCTCTGCCGCCGTCACTCAGACACTTCCCAGGGAGGCAGTGCTTGCATTTGCTCACTTCTCAGTGCCAGGTGGACTCACAGCCCTGTTGTGCTTTTCTGCAGCGGGATGGAGCATTGTGAGAAGTTTGAGATTTCAGAGACCAGCGTGAACAGAGGCCCTGAGAAGATCCGCCCGGAGTGCTTCGAGCTGCTGCGCGTGCTGGGCAAAGGCGGCTACGGCAAGGTCAGCAGCCCCAGCCCTGCCTCCCCCAGGGCCTCTCTCTCATTCCCCTCTCTGGAAAGTCCATTCTGCCTGGTGGAACAGAGCAGAAGCACCCCAAGGTGGGCACGGAGGTGCCTGGCAGAGCCTCACTGCTGGAAGCAGCAGGGAATGTCCCAGAGTCATCCTGCATCCAGTCTCTGCCTCTTGCCTCGCAGTTTGTGGGTGATCTCCTCTCTCTCTCTCTCTCTTGCACAACTTTGCTCTTTAGCTTGTGGCAGTTCATGCAGCTGAGATATGTGATTGCCATTGTGTTGGTGTTGTTTAGGTGTTTCAAGTACGAAAAGTAACCGGAGCAAACACCGGGAAAATATTTGCCATGAAAGTTCTTAAAAAGGTAAACCTGAATTTCACTGCTCTCTGGATCTAAAAAAAAAAAAAAATCTATTCCTCTGTTTACCCTTTAGAATTATCTAATGATTTAATATACCTAAAAATAAGTTCTAGGATATATACAGTTTTTACTCAGATCCATTTGGAATTAGAATTAAACTTCAATTTTTTTCTTCTGGGTAGTTCTCAGCAGCTCATTTAAATAGGTCAGGAGATCCTTTCCAAGCCAAATTATTGTGTGATTCTATGAAATAAAGACTTAAAACTGTAAGAAACCTCTTACGTAGATACTGTGGTGAAATGTAATTTTTTAATGCTGTTGCTAACTCCTATGTAGTGTTGTAATTTAATAAACTCAGAACTGAACTCAGTATAAAAGTCTGCCTTGTTTAGCATGCTCTGTGCTCACATATCCCTGCCTTTTGCAGGCAATGATTGTAAGGAATGCCAAGGATACAGCTCACACAAAAGCAGAGAGGAATATCCTGGAGGAAGTGAAACATCCCTTCATTGTGGACTTAATTTATGCCTTTCAGACTGGTGGAAAACTCTACCTCATCCTTGAGTATCTCAGTGGTCAGTATATGACATTCTTTTACCTCCTTGGGGTCTTGCACAATCAAGAATTTGGGGTTCTTACCCTACAGGTAAAAGGCCAATTAATGATGGCTTGGTGTCTTAAACTGAAACAGGCTGGTATTAAAAATACATAGAAGAACATGAATAAACTTTCTAATTCCATACAATAAAGAGGAATGAAACATAAAACAATTGTTTTTCATGACAGTACAGGA